TAAGTGCATATAATGGAAATAATATGAAGCACCAAAGCTCAAATATCAGATTAACAATAAACAGTTGGCTTCTGCAGGTACTTACATGCTGCAAAAGCAATTTAAAAAAAAATTACCAACGTACCCGAGTAGAGTTAATTAGAAATGGAGGAATACATGCAGGGGCATGAAAAGAAAAAAAATCACAACTTAGTAAGGCTTATACAGAAAAGCTTTTGTCTCAAGTTAGTCTTCAGGAAACAAATAAAACAAAACATCTAACAGGCTGTACTGCATAATGAATATTTCAAAGCGACGGCATCAGTTTGCTTATTTCCCGTTCTCTGAATTGAAATAGCCTCATAAATAGTCTAGTAGGATCACATGATTATGTCTCTTCCTAACAGGGAGGAATCGGACCAGTGGGCAATTCTGGGCCTCTGGGAGTAAGAGGCTTCCAGGTCAGCAACATGAAATCACAAATTATCATGTTTTTTTTAAAGTTATTAATATGTTATGGTGAAGTTACTGATTCTGTGTATGTGTGTGTGTGGAATCTGCTGCAGGGAGTCAAAGGAGCCTTGGGCGACCCAGGCCTTCCAGGGCCGACAGGACTCCGTGGGGAGTTTGGTGACAGAGTGAGTTCCTGCAGTAAAATGGGTCCAACTTGGATAAGCCTTGAATTTTCTTTTAACAGATTGTTTGAAATGATTTAAATGAAACTAAGTTAAACAAGCCTTAAGTGAAAATCCCTAGTGGTTCTGTTTGGTTGGTGTTAATCAAAATGTTTGAAGAAATTTGACAGTTTAGAAACAATACCTACCTCCACACAAACACTACATAGACGTGTGTGATCATGTGAGGTGGTAGCCAGGTCGTTCTTCCCGATCAGTTAAAAGTCAGGCTGGAGAACGTAGAGACACAAGGTGGCCTCCTGTTCAGAACCAGAAGACAGAACAAAGACGTCCTTTATGTCAGTCCAGGTTCCCCTCAACCAGCCCACCTCGCTCCCCTCCCGCTCTCACAGCAACAAATTCTCTGTATGTCTCTTATATATTGACTCCGTCTCTGTTTCCCACCTCTCCAGGGTCCAGTTGGAGCTTCTGGAGCAAAGGGAGACATAGTAAGTCACCCAAAACCTTCTCTGACCGTCATGTTACAATGTTCCTCCTTAGCGTTTTCTCCCCAGCTCTCAACTAACAGGCCATGTTATTGTTCTTCCATGTTAATGAACATATGGTGCTTTAAACAGCATTAAACCAACAAATTCTCCTTCTTTAGGGCGTGGCAGGAAGTGATGGTTTACCAGGAGAGAATGGAGAACCTGTGAGTATTTTGTCCTAATCCAACTAGTGAAATTAATGTTTTTTTTAGCACCAATCAACTGTATGTTACAGCAAAACTCTGCTAAAACTAAAATAAAACTCTTAACTTATCAATAAATTTTTATCTGAAGCATAAATCATAGCTTTCCATTGAACTTTGAGCAATTGCATAATTAAAGATAACAATAAAATAAATAATTATTTACATTCAAATCCTTATTTTAATTGTCCTTTTATGTAATAATTTAGATAGCTTCATCAACTATAACCCACTAATCATCAAAACTAGCAGAAATCTCTGAAAAGATATAAATAAATAAGTGAAATAAATGAACTTTTTGATAATACATTGAAATGCATCTGCCTTGTTCGTCTGACTGATCTAAAACTAAATGCTTGGACAACTAAGGTGTTTATCTACTTTCAGGGTCCGTTTGGTCCAGTTGGACAGAAAGGAGAGGTAAGATAATTAATCCATTTCCCCTGTCCTACATTTACAGAATCTCACCCTTCAAAGCGTCTCTCCAAATACAGTTTGTGTTGCCAAACATACATCAGATGCTGTGTGGGTGTAATTAGCAGTGCAAGTTTGCTCCAAACTCCCTCTGCGTCTGTTCCTTCTCCAAACATTAAAAATGGCGCCTCAGTCTGAGCAGTTTTTGCCCGCACGTCAAAGTCACGGCACATGACGACGCATTCCAGGTTTAATGGGATTATTTAGAGATAGGCACTGCAGCTTTAGCTTTACTGGCCTGTTTGCTGCTATCGCCACGAGGGAAAGACAAGTCGCACTAAGCTGCAGCACAATTTGTGTAATTAGCAACACAGCGCTGATGAGCCTCACTCCCTTAGTCTCACTTACTGTTTGCTGTGCTCTTTGGAGTAATTATCAGGCAAGAAGAGTCCATATGAACCCACCCCCGCATTGTCTCGACAGGCCCAGTTTGTTTTCCTGGTGGTGTTTAGTCAGCGATTAAATCTCAGGGAGGTTTTTAGGAGTTTGGATAAAAGATTACTTGCTTCTGCAAAACATACTGAGCAATTAAACCGATAAATCTTGCTAAATGCAGTCAGGAAAGAGAGGTGAACTGGGGCCTAAAGGTGTGACAGGTCCACAAGGCGAGATCGGGGCCAGGGGGCCTCCGGGAAAACCAGGACTGATGGGCTTCCAAGGGGAACAGGGTCTGCCAGGAATCGCAGGAAAGACCGGTGTACCTGTGAGTGGGATTGTTTTAACAAACAAGCTCTAGTTTTATCGTCTGACTTTAGGTTACGTTTCATAAATGGCTTCTTGTGTTTCAGGGTAAACTAGCAAGTGAGCAGCACATCAGGGAGCTGTGTGGTTCCATGATCGATGGTGAGAAACCTTAAACCTGTCCTCCAGTCATGATCCACACATTTACCAGAGCTTACCTTATGGTGTCCTCCGTCATCCAGACCAGATTGCACAGCTAGCGGCCAACCTGCGGAGGCCCCTGGCCCCAGGAATGGTGGGCCGGCCTGGCCCCGCGGGTCCTCCAGGAAAGCAAGGGGTTGCTGGTTCGGTCGGGCATCCAGGGACCCGTGGACCGCCAGGATACAGAGGCCTGCCAGGAGAACTTGGAGATCCAGGTCCCAGAGGTATGAGAAATTATACAGTTTCTAACAAAGTGCACAAAACGAGTCCTCACCTGGATTCCTTTAAACATGCCTCATCAATGCGGCCAAATAAATCAAACGCTGTCTTGTCTAACCGTAAATTTATATCCAGATGTTCCATCCATTATCGGCATCCAATAATGTTAAACTGCCTTGACCGTTTATGATGGGCTAGAACGTTTGCCATTCCTGTATTGTTATTGAACATCATGACAAAGTGGCAGCATGTTGGCAGCATCATGCTGCAGATAGTTTCACTGCCAGTTGTGCTGCCACATTGAACAAATTGAGTGAAATATTTAAGACCGAAAACTACCTCCAAAAATTTCAATTTCCAGCTGGAACATTATTACACCTCAAAACTGCTTTGGAATGGATGAAACAGGCTGATATTAAGATTTTTAAAAGGCCCTGACATCAACACTATAAAAAGCAGTCATATTTTCTGGAAATTCAAAGTTGAAGTTGTTTGTTGTATCACTAATCCAAAATGAACAGTTCAAAAGCTGTTTTTACTTAACCTGGTAAAAACCAACACTTGTTTTATGCATTCCTTCATATAGAAGGTCTGGACTAAACAATTGTCGCTGGAGGCATGGACTCTGTTGACGTTTTGAATTTTACCCAATTCATGACGTTTACCTGTGACTTGCATAATGTACGAGTTCAGCGCTATGAAGATTAGCGAAAATTAGCAATGCTGTAAATAATCACCCTGAAGAGAGAAGTGTCGAGCCAAACAAGATGGTTGATTATGTTTAGAAAGCATGGTCAATGTGGACTGAACGACTTCGTTTACTTTCACTGCTACCATTGCTAAAACTACAGGCAGACTACAATTCTAAAGCAGAGCAAAAAAATCTACAAAATTGTTAATTTCTTGCCGGGTTAAAATTCTACCAGAGACATCCAAGTGAATGGGAGAAAGCCCAGACGGAGAATTGAAGAGAGATTAGAATTGAGACAAAAATTGGTATTACATACAGCATAACTACCTCCAATTAGTTTTTCTTTTTTTTTTCAGAGGTCACAAAGCTGAAAATAAATGTTTTGTTTTTAATAACAGGTGATGTTGGTGAGGCAGGTGATAAGGGACCTGTTGGCAAAGCCATTGATGGGCCTCCTGGAGACCAAGGGCATCAAGGTATAAGGCAGATATTTTAAATCACCTCATGGACAACTGCCTCAAACACTCACCTGACCTCAGAAACCTTTTCTCACCCTCATTAGGTCTTCCTGGAGTACGTGGGATTGTCAAAGATGGCCGTGATGGGTCTCCTGGAGATCCGGGTGAGCCTGGAGAGTCTGGCAGGGCAGGTAGGACTGGGCATCAGGGTCCTCCAGGGATCTGTGATACAACAGCCTGCCAGGGAACGTCACCAGCTGGGAAATCCTCAAACCCCAAAAACAATTAAACCTGACTTCCTGCAGCCTGATCGCTCTGCTTTTAGGAGGGAAGGTTAACACGAGGAGGAGAGGAATGACAAGAGAACGTTCGCAACAAGTCCTCTTTATTTAAATACATGTATCACAAGAGAGGAGTAACATCTACAAGTGTGAATGGAGGAACATCCCAAGAGTGACAGGAACACCAAAGCAACCGAGACCCAAAAGATTACAGGTAACATCTTGAAAGAAAGAAAAAGAAAACAAGAGAACAACTGTAGTGACTCAGAAGTGTCACATAACAACTGGTATAAGTTTGTAAATGTTTCGATGCTCCATTTGTTTCGATTATCATCAACGCGACAACTGTGACCGTCTCTGATGTGAACGCCCATTTGACATGGCTTATTGTGTGAATCACCGGTGTTACCTCAGTATACAAACTGACAGTGTAAAATATGGACAAAGGTGCTGGAGCTGTATATGTACTGTAAAAGTAATAAAATAACAATTACCCAGGTGCCCAGAAATTGTGTAGAAAAATGCAAAAAAAAAAAAAATTACAGCTTGTTTTTTTTTAATAACTTGTAAAGGGGAGGGGATTCACTAAAGCTAAGAAAATAAACAGGATAAAACTTGTGCATGCATAAATCAGACCTGTATAATTCATAAAGAAATTAGAAAAAGTTTATTTTTATTTTTTGGTTTTTCAATCAGCAATGACCACATTCACTGTGTACCGCCGGTGCTGTAACTATTAAATATACATTACTTTAAATACTATTTATTATTGTGGGTGACTGTTGTATGTACAGTAAAATGCTACAGCGACATGTTGTAAGAACAAATAAAGCCACTTTTCAGTAAAACATTACTCTTCTCTACATATCAAATGAGCCCAACACTTCATTATAACTCCATTAATTCACTATTGTCCCAAGTTTCTATATAAAAATGCATAAATATGAATACAAAAGACAATATATAGAGAGTTGCAAGTTTAAGAACATCAGCTATAAAAGTAACACAACGGAACATTTAAATAAAATATAAAAATGATACGTTAATAAAACAAAATGGGTCGAGAGCAGTCCTATTCCCATATTCCATTTTCCAAAAGAAAGTTTCATCTTATTTCATCTAGTGTGAAATACAGTTTTTAAAGTTTATCAGCTGAATGGAACTGGTCTTGGGAATTCTGATACGAAAGTGACACCTAGTGGTCTTACGATGCAACTGCAGAAAACCTGCCATCTTTGAGCGTCTCTCAATCAGACAAAGGGAACTTTCCACTCTCTAAGGCAGAGTTAAATCAAACTTTTCAAACACATAAAATGAACTTTTCAGTTAAGCCCTACAGTCTCCATCGGTTTACTCACTCAATTTAAAGTGCCGTCTTACATGTGGATTAAACGTGAAGCAGATCATTGCTCAGCTGCAAGAGAAGTGCTCAGTGTCTTGTCTTTCTTTGGGTTGGATGGTTGTTTACCTGGAGTGGGGCTGGACTTTAAAAACCTCTCTCTCTCATTATTGAAGACCTTCTGAAACTCCTGCAAAAGAAGAAATGTTCATTTCAAATATTTTCAGCTTACCCACAGTCATCAGAAAAAAGTTTGAGAAGTGGAACGTAACTTTTGGGGTTTTATGTTTTAATACTAAACTGAACAATTAATAATATCTTATAAGTTGGGAATGCACACAATTTACAGAGATAATTATTAATTGGCAGCCAATCTTAATTATTCTGTGACTTGATCACAATTTGTCAGCTTCTGCTTTCCTTTACTTCAGTCGTGTTTTGATTTAAAGATGCTTCAAAGTAATTTTGGTCCTGAAAAATGGTTCTCCGTAATGCTCAAAAATATACTGATCATCACCAAAAAGTACAGCCTGCTGGAAGATTCTGTTTTCTTGACCATTTGCTGGAAGCACCATCACACAGAGACTGTATCAGGATGCCTCATTGTTGGCACCACCTGGGACTCAATAAAACTATATGTAACCAGGTAGGATATTTCCCTACCTGTATAAACATGAAAAAATAGACTTAACTGGCTCTGAAAAGTTAAAATTAATAAAAATACGTAAACACGAATCAACTAGACATCTATTCTACTCCAGAGCTGTTCCAGAAATCCAACCTGAATGGAGACCTGATAAGTGCAGAGTGTTCAGGTTCAAGAGAACAAGATCAAGGCAGATTGAAATCCGACCACCACTGACTAGGACATACAAAGTGAAACTGGGCCAAGAAATATTTGAAGAAAATCGGATCAGATGGACGGATCTGTGGCTGGATCAGTAACAGGAAACAGAGCTCCACTTCAACTCAGATGCCAGAAAGGTGGAGGTGAGAAGACTCATCATCTTCTGCTAGAAAATGATGAGTCTATCTTCACCTTCTAGTTGAAGATGGACTCAAAATCAACTCCTAAAACTACCACCAGTTTTTAGAAGTCACTTTTCTTCAAGCTAAAAAAAAATAAAACTGCATAATTGTGCACACAGGGCACATAACTGCAAGGAAATAAAAGCTATTTACAGTAAAACAGGTCTACATACAGGCATATCTTGAAAACAGAAATCAATTCAAGACAAAAGGAAGGCCTGAAAATGGCTTTATAAGTTGATGTTCTACACAGGCTTACCTCCTTGAAGCTGTCTCCATACATTTTTTTGATGTATCTTAGATAAGCTGTGGTCCACTGCAGCGTCGTGACTTTGTCTGTGTTCGAGTCACAGAATGGCACCATGGTGTTCAGCTCGTCACAGCAGGAGCGGATCCTCTTCCTGTACGTCACCAGACACATACAGTAAATCAAGTAGCATTGTGACGTCTATCGAGTCATTTCCTAAGGTTCACATACTACTTATGTTTATCTTTAAATAATTTATTCAAGTTCTTTGTTAATGGCAACAATCAGCTTTCAAGAAGCCCTGATCATTCATGTAACTTCTTTGAAAAAAAATCGTTCTTTTGAAAAGTGAACTGAGGATGCTAACATTCGTGTTGCGGATGTCTGTGCTGCTGCAACACGTCTTGCTAACTTGGGATTAAGTGCCTTGCCCAGGGTCACACTGACATGTGGTAGGAGGAAGCTGGAATCAAACCTACAACCTTCTGATCACAAGACGACTACTCTACCCACAGAGCCACAGTTGCAGCAGAAACTAACCCCCGGTATACCAAGAGAAAGATTTTGTATGTCCAAAAAAATGCAATTGTTTTAAAATTTTTAACATGTCAAAATCGTTCCAATTAATTAATTTAAATTAATGCGCTATAGTCCTGGCACCACCAAAAACATTCAGTTTAGATGAAAACAATGATTATTTCATATTTGGATTAACTATTTGCCATCTTAGGTTTATGCCTGTAATAAAATGAAAGCAAAAACATTACAAATGTTTAGTAAAATATTTATTTATAGAAAGTCACGTTAAAGCAAGATGGTCACCCACCACATGTTTTCCCGTGTGTCCACCTTCACAGCTTCAGTGGGAGTTAAGTAGGAGAATAAGAGGCAGCAAGACGTTGAATACATAATCCACACCATGAATACATAATCCACACCTGGATGATCCACATCAGGTGTGGATTATGTGAGCAATATCAGAGAAAACGATGTTGAGTGTGCAGCCAACATTAAATCTAAAGAAAATACTTTGTAAGATAGGATACGAGGTGGAAATTCAACTAACCCAGTTTGATATGGCTCACCTGCGCTCCCTCTCTTTGCTGTTGTGTTTCTCCTTGCGTTGGGTCAGTGACAATGAAGATCGGGCTCTTTTGGAAATGCCCCTCCTGGACTTCTTGGATGGTTTCGGAGCAGTTTTAGCAGCTTTGGGAGGTTCAGGGCACAAGCTGCTGCAATGCCCTCTGTAGACAGCATGTGGCACCACATCCTCTGTGCAAAACAGCCATGGGATCAGACTTAGAAAAATGCTGTGTAGTATAGTAGACAAAGAAATTAACTGAGTTTCTAATTACAGTAATGACTCGTACTTTCAGTGAACATCAACTCCTGCTCTTCTCTGGGGTTGCTGTTGTCAGTGTAGACGGTTTTTATCACAGAGGTCTCAGGGTGAAAGCTAAATGAAAAACTGGGGGGCATTATTAAACCCTGATGTATGTTGGGCTCAGCCATGTGTGCAATAACCTGCAATTGCAGCAGAGAACATTAAGGATTAAACTGCTTGATTAAACGTGCTGCCTAAATCTATGAAACTGATTGGTGATGTTAATTTCTATCCCACCTGCCCAAAGACATTGGTTATCGGTTCGAAAACACCTCCGACGTGAGAGCTAGAGAGCTTAAAAGAATTTGCTCGGTCAGCTTTCACCCACTTTTGTGTTTGAGGATGTGTGGATGCCTCTTGAGCCTCTGCTGAGTGTTCAAATACTGTCAAAAGACTGAGGAAAACAGAAAAACAACGGTTGCTGCACACTATGCAAAAATAATAATAATACAAACATCGTTACATGATTACACTATATAACTGAAACTAACTTGCTGAGAACAGCAGAGTGGCTATCCGGCTGGGTTGTGGTGTCGGCACACATGCTGTTGAATCTTTTCTCCAGACACACTCTTGCGGCTGATATGGATCGGTTCTTGGAAAACTCCTCTTTGACAGTCACCTTGATTGGGCTTTCTTCACCTCTGATTCTAGCCAGCACAAAACTTGGAACCTCACCATAAAACACAGGAGTCTTTTCCCCTGGCATTACCAGATTGTGTTCGTCATTTGAGGTTGAAGTTGACAAGTCAATGGCTTGACTGGACGTGTTGGGGGAAATCCCTGTAGAACAGGTGGCATTTTGAACCACTACTGCAGCTGAGGAAGGACTGGTATCAGAGTCGTCTGAAAGCCCAGGCTCCACTTGCGACTGGTTGAGGTGCTGAAGGTGAGAGTAATCAAAATCTGACATCTCTGTTAGATCAAACTCTGAGCTAGTTGTCAGCCCCTGACTCTGGGTCCCGCATACACCTTGGCTCCAAATCAAACCGATGACATCAGAGGTGTGTTCACTTGATGTAGATGACGTATGAAGAGTTTTATAAACTGGGTGAAAGGATGACATGTTTCACTCTGAAGATAGAAATGAAATAAATAAAAATATGATTTATTTCAGAGGCCAAAACCCACTTCAGGTTAATCACTGTTAAACATTTTGAATTAAATAACCATTACGCCAGCGTATTTTCTTAAAGAGTACTCATATAAAGTGGAAGTAAAATTATGCCATTTTCAAAACCTGCAAGTCTGGCATGCATCTGTAACAACTCATCTTTACTCTGGCTCCCCTAAATAAAATGTCACCAAATTAGTAAATAGACTGCATCAGTTTATAATATAATTTTAGAGTAAGTACGGCAGTTCTGTGTATGCTTCAGAGGCTCAGGTGAGAGGAGTCTTAAGCGGCCAAGAGGGAGGTAGTAACTCTGGAGGGGCTGCAGAGTCACAGCACAGGGCTGGGGAAATCATGCAGACATATTAGTCATGCCACACTAGCCTCATGGTGATACAAGGTGATGGCTGGCTCATGCAATTGGGATAATTGGATAGATGAGATTAAAGTTAAACCTTTTGGTCCTAATCTTGAGTTATTTTGCATAGAATAGGCAAAAGAATAAATAAAATTGAACTCTAGACATGCTAAGCTAGTGAGGACCTAAATTCTATTCGAAATTGAGGCAAAATGATGTTCTTCAAAAATATTAACTCAAAGAAAGTACAAATAGACACCAGTCTTTTCAGATTTTTTTATTTAAAAGAACTTTAGAAACTATTTTGTCTTCACTTAAGTATCGTGTGCTATTTTGTTGTTTAAATAGCTGGTAAAACATTCAAGATTGTGAGGTTTGCGTAAGAAAATGTGAACAAAAGTATAAATTCTTAAGCTACTTGACTTTTATCATGGTTAAGCTAAACGTTTCGTACTAAGGAGCCCTACATTACGCCGCTGGTTGATCAAATTAAACAAAACTTCCTCTCATTAAAAGAAAGAAAAAAAATCGCAGTCTTTATTGGTTTATTGTTTATACTGAGACAAAATGTGCGTGCATTACCACATACATACTACGGCACGGCAAATATTAAGTTACTTTTTTATTTGAAAATCAGACAAATGCGTATAGAGACTGCTTATGATGAGACAGTGGAAAACGGCTACCTTAAGAGTAAAAACTATTTGATAAATTCTTAAACAAATGTACCTAAATATATCGATATCAATGAATAATTCTTACTCACGAGGCGGTTGTTGGAGGGATTTCTTTCCAAATGGACGAATTTTGTTTCTTCAGCATTTAAGCATTTTTTACCATAATTAGCAGCTAGCTGGTGAACGCTACATTAGCATTTTAGCTAAGCGACGACCACACTAACGTTCGGCTACGTACACCGTCGCCATCTTTGAATACACTACACAATACCCATACCTAAACTAATTAATTATAAAAGTTTGCTTTATATATATGCAAATATAAAAAAGTAAAATAGTTCCTTTCAGCTAGATCTCTTTTGCTTACTTCAGAGATAACTTCTTAAATGATGGTCGGAAAAGTAATGTTCGACGTCAATTATGTTCCCAAATGTATTGGAGAACTTTAAAGGAAACCTAATGATCTAAAACATGTTAAGTTTTTGTTTATTTTGGCATTCACTTTTATAAGTCAACATAAACTCAAATGTACAAAAACCAGCTTTATCAAGTAAAGTATACTGAAAACATTATGGCAACAGTGAAATATTTGAAAATATGGGTTATGGGAACAATGATTTCAGTAATAAACTGCTGCAAATAAAAAAAACATAACTATGCAAAACTGTGCAACTGTAGAATGTTGGATGGAGGAACCTAATGTTATTGCTAAAATGTCAGATCCCTCCCTCCCCCAAGTCCTCCAAAAAGAAACTGTGAAGGTCAAATCTGACCTTGTCTTCAATCTGACATTGTTGATAATTTTTGATGCTTACTGTTGAAGCCTTTCAACACAAAGACATCTCTTCTAAATGTAAAATTAAACACCCTCCTAGAAAAACAATTAAAACCCTCCTTCCACCTTATGATAAAGGTAAAACATACTTTTGGGGTAGCTGACATAACATGATAAGTTTTTACTCTTTTTGGAAATAAAAAAACCAGTTCATTTTCCAAACTAATAGCCTATTTTGTCTTGATATAAGATGATATCAACATAAATAGATATCTCTACTGTTGCACCTAATCAAAACAAAAATCCAGTGAAGAAGCACTGACAAGTTACATTTTTACAAGTTTTTAAAATGACTCTTTATTGACTTGTAGCATTCTAAAAGAACACTGAAACAAGTTACACTTTTATGAGCATAAAAATGTAACAAAGACAACGTAATACAGTGATGTTACGACTCTTAAAAACAAAAACAAAAAGAACTACTTTTGTACAAAGCTTTTCAAACTATTTCCTTCCAGAAATGCCCCCAGGTAGTATAATATACAACAATTTACAAAGTGTAGGTCATAATCAAACAACTACTATGACTGGAAACAAAGTCGAACATAATTAACACAAAAACTCAGCATTTCTGTATCAGTTAACCATTACAGATTTTACCAATGGGCTTGCATGTGGGTCAAGTTGTAATATAAATGAAAACTGCCTTTACAAAACCATACATTTCAGGAAGCAATATTAAAGTGTCTTATAGCCTTGGAATCCTAAAGAAAACATACATACTTTGAGATATTTGCAAGTCTCAATATTAGATCAATATGGTTTTAAGATCCAAGACTGTCCATATTTTGTTTATTTCTTATTAAAACTTTGTCGTGTTAAACCTCTGTTTTAGTAATTTAACCGCATTCAATCTTCTTACCCTACATTTCTTTAACGAGCAGGGGCTCCTCGTCCTGGCCCTCTTGCACGCCCTCTGAACCAATTATCCATTGCTCTGCCTCTACTTGTTCCCCTGTTCCTATTGAATGGGGAGCCAAACTGTGGTGCTTTCATAGAGGAGGCATCATGACTTTTCATCACAGGATCTGAAACCGGACCATCAGGAGTGGGAAGTAAGGCACCTCTGTGTCTTTGAGGTTGCACAGCTCGTTGATTTTGTGGGCTGTCAAAGTCATGGAATGAATGTCCTTCTCTGCTTGGACCGGGACCTAAAGGCCTATTGAATGGTGCTGGAGGTCCTTCATGAGGGCCATGGTCACCTTGATGAGGACCTCTTCTCCCCCTGCTAGTTGTTTGACCTGGATGTCTTTGTTCTCTTTCCCTCCTATCTACATCTCTTCTATTAGATTCAGGAAATTCTGAGTTTGAATCCCATCTACCAGGTCTAAAATCTGAATTATTGGGTGACGCTCCCCTACGTTCTGCACTGCTAGGCCCTTGTCTCATTATTGGACCCCTTCTTACTCTCCTAAAGTTACGCTCAAATCCTTCAGGGTCTGCTCCTGCATCCATGTCTGCACTACGCCTTTCAGAGCTGGATTCCCCAAAATCTGAAACTCTCCTATCTGACTCGGGACCTTCATCATTGAAATTTCTGTAGGAAGTTTCTGGGTATCTTAAATCTGGACCTCCTGGAGCCTCCATCTCAAATGGTCTCCTGTTTGGATGTTTGGCTTCCCTTTGAGGCCAGGGTGTCCCACGATCATGGCCTCTCATATCCTCCTCAAAGTCCTGATGTCTCCAATCATCATCCATGTTTGCATGTCTTTGCTGAACTGATCCTCGTCCTCTACCTCGGACTCTACACCAGCTTTGTCTTCTATTGCATGGACCCCCTCTCCCTCTGAAAAATGCCCCAGAATCTTCTCTACCAGACTCAGTCCATTCATGTTCTTCTCTTTCTCTATTAGGGCCAGGACAATCCATGTCTGGGTTGTCACGAACAGACCTTGGATGCCTAAAACCAGGCCCATCCCAGTCATCTCCAGAAACAGAAAACTGCACATTTTCTCCATCCTGTGTCCATTCACTATGGTTATCATGGAAACTATGACCTTCACCTTGTTCATCAGGATGATCTTGGAAAGTCTCTAAACCTCTGTCACCACTGTTGTCCCAAATATCTCCAGAAGATTCACCTCCCTCCAGCTCTTCAAATCTTGGCCCTCGTCTGTCTAACCATTTCCCTTCAAAGACACCACCCCTCCGACTCGGTGCAAAGCCACGGGCATTTGGTCCCGGTCTTCTGATGCTTCTTCTCATTAGCCTTGAAGGTCTAAAATTTTGACCTCTCCTATCAGATTCTAATTCCTCAAAATCAGGAAATTCTTGAACAGGTTCAGCCTCCCCCCAGTCATTTTGTCTGTCATATCCAAGATCCTCTGTATTTGCCCTTTCCTCCCTGGCGCCTCGATCTCTACAATCACTTGATTCTCTCCAGTCAGGTCTTCGGCCATCCATGCCTGGACGTGGTCTCACAGGCATGGGTTCTCTAAAGCTTGGGCCCCTTGGATTTTGTTCATCAGGGACTGGGCCCTCATAATCTGGTCTCCTACAAAATCTTGGAACCATCCCTGTAGTCCCAGGGCCTCCCACAACATTTCTGTTATGTTCCACTTCTTCAGGGTGCACCATGTTCCTATTAGGCTGCAGACCCTCCATATTTGAAAATGTTCTTCCTTGCTCAGGACACCTGAATTGTGAGTCTCTTGGAGGGCTTCTGTTTGCTTGTTTCACATTTGGAGTCACTCTTTCTGGTCGCGGGTCTCTAATGTTTGGGCCTTTGGTACATTCAACTGGAGGACCTATTCTCCCTGTTCTTGGAACCCCTGGTCCTGTTCTATTTAATTCTGAACCCACCATATCTGAATTACAACCTCTGAGATTTGGACTTCTCCCCCTGTGTTCTGAGCCTTCCGAATTTAGACATGCACCTTCTGTTACATTTTCCCTGAAGTGTGGTCCTCCCTGTACAGGTTTAGGACCTTCTAAACCCGGGAGAATTCTTCCTTGTTCTATGCTATCAGGCCCACCACGCCCCAAATATGTTCCTTTTCTTTCAGATCCTGGTCCCCAGTTTTCTGGTTCTTGTGATCCTCTCCTGTCAGAATTTTGGCTATCCATAGCAGGACTCCTCATTTCATTTACAGGCCTACTGAAATCTGGACCTCCCGTCATTCTCCTGGCATTTGTATTATCAAACCCTTGCTCAATAAAATTTGGATGTTCAGATATTTTGTCTGGCCCAGGTCTTTGCGTAGTTAAGTATCTGCCTTCGGGACCTGGCCCTCGGAAAACTGGACCTCTAAATTCTCGATTTTCAGACCTGTGTTGCTCTATAGACAAGCCTCTTGTTTCAGGTCCTCCTCTGAAATTTGGACCTCCTCCTCCAGGGGCATCTGGTGCTCTCCTTTCAGGCCAGTTTCTTTGTTCAAGTCTTTGTCCCACGAGATCTGGACGCCCTGGTCCTCTACTGTCATGCATAGAGTTCTCATTCCTAGAACCTATCCATTCAGGTCCCTGTATCTTAAAATCTGGACCCACTGGTTCTCTCCTGCCATGCATTGAGGCTTCAGTGTCAGGGCCTTTATTTTCTGACCATTTTCCCATCATATCTGAACACACAGGTTGTCTAGTGTCATTCCTTGTGAACTGCAACTCAGGATTTCTTATTTCAGTTCTGGGTCCTACAAAATCTGTCCCTCTTGGTCCCCTAAAATCATGCTTGAAAGTTTGTCTGTCTGGACTTCGTTCTTTATTTCTTTGTCCATACTGAAAGTTTTGAGTGCCTATTTTGCAAGGTCCCTGACTCTCCAAATTTGTCACTCTTTCACCAAACTGATGGGTACGCCAATCATTTTGTATAAATGTTCCTATTCTGACCAGATCTGTTGACTCCCTATTTAATCCTTTTTGAGCATCTCCACTGTCTGACTGTGGGGGATTCGAACATAAAGGTCTTTCAGGTGGACCAAGGCCCTTATTTTGATTTATCTGAAATGACCCTGGACCTCTCCAGTCTGGATTTGAAATATCCAGCTTGTCTCCACATTCTAGACCATCACTGAAGTCTGGATCTCTTTTAATGGGTTGAGATTCCCTTTTCCCAAGTCCTCTTTCATCAATGGAAAGACTTTCAGTATGTTTTGAATGTGTCTGATCTCCTCTGAATCCAAAAAAAGATGGGTTGTGACCTGTTTTATTAACCATTCTAATATGAGAACCCAAAGTCCCAGGATGTGAAATCCTTCCCTCAAACTGTGGACTCCCAAATGATGTGTCTATTTTCATAATGTCTGACTTGCTGTCTGCGTTCTTTGGCTGCGATCTTAACTCATCTGTTTTCAAAAAAGGCAAAGGTTCTCTGTAATAACCGACATTTTGGTCATTAATATTTGGATTACGATGTTGAACAGCTGAGACAGAATCATTTGACCCAGGCAGAGATCTATCTGACAACTGGCTTCTAACAAATTGATTTTGGGTCTCAATTTGTGTTCGTAATACTTGAATTTCAGAATTTGATGCACTTTGCACAACATTTTGCATCACTCCAGAGCGGGACGGAGTTACGCCTTGGTTAATGACTTGGAAAGAAGAGCTTTCTGTTCCTTGCATTTTATCTGGGGAAACTCTTGAGACAGTCTGTGAATCAGTTACATTGGGGTTATGATTTTTTATCAAATTTAACAATGAGCCCTGAAGACATGTTGCTTGTTGCATTGCACGTCTCTCTGAACCATCTGCATGAGTGTTCTGAGTGCTTGGAATAGGTCCCAAAGCATTTCTCATTATATGCTGCATGTCAAGCCCTTTTCTATCAGGCCCCGTAAAGCCAATTTTCTTGTCCACTAGATCTGTTTGGGTCACACTGTGTTCGTAATCTTTTATATTTGCTGTTGGATTTCCAGTGCTTTGAAAACTTGGACCAGGTAGAACATTGTGTAAAACAGCATCCATTTCTGGTCCCGAGTCCTGGATATTTGGTCCTTTTTGTAGACTGGAAGTTGTTTGACGACTAACTACCACAGAGTCATTTTCATCTTTAAGAAATGGTGCTGAAGCACTGTTTTGCTCCTCGGAATCTGTAGTTTTAGCACAGTCAACACTCTCAGTGCTGAAAGGTTTTGAAAACTGTGGTTCTGGATCTGGACTTTCAGGAGAATCTCGAAGAGGTGGATCAATTTCTCTCAGAGGAATTTTGCTTTCAATTTTGTCTTGAAGCCATGTTTCCTGCAGGGACAGTTTGTTTTCTTGACTAGGAGAACTGTTCATTTGATTATCGCACTGACTGATTGACGGTTCTAAAATCTCAGTCTTCACATTTTGAATAAGTGCAACCGAGTGTGTAACAGGGTTCTCAACCAGATTGCACTCAAGCTTAAGTTCATTTGGCTCATTTTTAATTCCAACAACTGATGGTGTTGATTCTATGGATGTCTTTACGGTCTCAGAAGGATTGCATGGACCACTTCTATGCTTTGTTTTATCAATGACTTGTAAAGGAGCTCCCCTGTGGCGTTTTGGTGAAAGAGAGGCAGACTGTTTTCTTCTTGGTGAAGATGAGGACCTTCTCAGCCCATGAGAATGTCTGCTAGCAGCATGGTCTTTTCGATGGTGTCCTGGATAATCAGATGGATCTCTGGTTCTATGCCTTGACCTCTCTCTTTCACTTCTGTGTCTATCCTTGTCTCTATGTCTCCTAGAATGTGACCGAGAACGCCTCCGTGACCTTTTTGAAGGGCTTCTGCGGTCCCTTTCTCGGCGACTCCGTCTTTTAGGTGACGACCTTCGCCTTCTGCTGTGGTGTGAATTTGGAGAATTGCCTTTATTCCCAACACTATCCCCAGTCCTTGATGAACCATCGTTAGTCTTTGTACTCCCTCCCTTAAATACATCATCTTGGATTTCATCAAAAAGTGACTCATCTTCAGGGTCATAAGCTACATCAGAGTCTTCAATCTCTCCAGCAGATGAATATTTCTCACATTCCTTTGCATTTTCTTTCGTTCCCATTTGTTCTGTCAGTGTAGTTGTGGTATCTTTTAAATTATCACTGACATTTGTATGTTCTAGCTTAACAGTTTCTGACTTTACACCAGAATTATCTTCCATCACTGTATTGTTGTTGACCTTTTCAGATTTGTCTGCAGGCTTCGAGTCTGTTGGCATTACAGCACTCTGCACAGCTGACAGCTGACCAAGCGGCAAAGATTTTGTGGGAGGAGACATCAATGTATCAGAAACAGAAAAGTGAGCCATAAACATACCCACAGCTTCTCTCTGTTTACGCAGCACCTCTTCCTGCTCTTTTAGCTGTCGCTTTTGCTCTTCAATTTGCTTATTAAGTTCCTCAAGCATCCGCTGCTGTTCACTCAGTGTTGCAGCTGAGACAACGACAGCGCCTGTATGAAAAGTCGACACTACAGAAGTTGGGTTAGATTTAAGTGTAGCTGGAGTGGAATCAGAAACTGGTGTTGGTAATGTTGGTGTCTCTGCATTTTGGGCTGGAATGGGGAGCTTTGTTACGACAACATCACTTTGAAATACTTCAAAGATAGTTTCATCTTCTGGATCATAGGCCACATCGTCTTCCACCAAGCCTGATAATGCAGAGTCATCAGTCTTATTACTGTCTGTGATTTGTGGAGTAAAAATTTTGTATCCCTTTGCAGGATCATACTCCTCTTCAGGGTCATACGGCCTGTCAAAGTCATCTTCCTTTTCTTCTTCCTGTTCGACCCGTTTGACTTTTGATTTCTGTCCATACTGCTGAACTATTGGATCAACCATAGGTCCAGACACTTTAGGAAACACTGGTCTCTTCTTGGAACTTTCTGTTGCTTTGGGGGAACTCCCGTCAGAGGAGGTTGTGGGGTCTGACTCCTTTCCCCCAAACAATGTCTTCAAAATAGTCTGCAATGGGTTATTATTGCTGGATGATGGTGTAACATTCTTGACTGAGTTGCTAACAGATGTGGACTCAGTGGCAGCAATGGATGAGACTGAAGGAGTTGCTTTAATGGAACTTAAGAGGGATGGTATGGTAATTGAGCCAGAAGAAGAAGAATCCGATGGCGAACCAGGAGGAGAGGAAGTAGCAGGAGTCTCTGGATCATATGGTTTGAACATGTCCAACTTGTCAGAACCATAGAGGACTGGTGGTTTTGGAATCCACATAGGGTCTTTGGACATGTTAACTTTGGGTTTCTTCTCTTCAATTTCCTGAGGGAAGCTTCCTGGACGCTTTAACTTCTGGACAATTGCTAGACCCAAAAGAAGATTGGGTCTGTTCTTTTCAAGGCCTGAAAAAATAAACAAAATAAATTAAACAAAGTATTCTAAATTATTTTACTTAAATACAACTTAAAAGCTCTGAAATATTCCTGAATAAAAACAAAAACGTTGACCTTTCTATGAAGTTTCTGTGTGTATATCAACACTTGAGTTGAATTTAGGCTACATAAAAAAACAGGTACTTTTCTATGCAAATATAAACTCAGATGTACCTATGAATTGTAAAATTTTCCCTTTGCTGGTCCTAATGAGTGATTAGTGGGTCAGAAAAATCTGACTTTTTTGTACTTTAAAACCAAAAGCTCTCACTATCTTTTGTGTTTAAGAAAATCAAATTCATCAGTAAAAATTAAAAGAGGTTAAGGAAACTCATATTTCTTTTATCTTCTGTTGGATTCTAAACTCCTATCTCAATTAACAAACCTGTTGCACTTTTTTCTTATTTATGTGTCATGGAGAAAGAAAAATCAAATGTTATCAAAATAGAATCAGCAGCAAAAATCTGAATTGGTCAGAGAAAGCCTGATCAGTGCATTTTTAGTGGAAATAAAATTCAAATAAAATAACTTTTAAAGATAGGGTGAAGTTAAAGGCCATGATAAAACACAAAAGTCAAACATTTTCATACCTGGACCTTCAAAAGGTTGTAGTATGGATGGGATCGACTCATTTGCGCCAAGAGGGACAAGATATACATCTTTGATGGAACGGCTTATGTTGGCAACGACACCAAAACGGCCTCTGCTGCTGAAGTAGGAAAACAGGGACACGTAGGCTACCTCTTCCTCCTCTGTTGCAGGGTGAAACCGGATCACACACAACTCCTAAACAAAACAGAAGAATGAGTAAAAAATAAGTGATACACCCTCCACTCTACCTCGCAAGGTGGAGGCATATATATGAAAAACATCTTGCTTGCCTTTGTAACTGAGGTTTTCAGTTTTACAACATAATCCCACACAGTCTCAGGTAAGATTCTCCCCCCGATTTGTATGGTATCAGGCAAATCCTGCACAACACACAAAACAGTAGTTTTACAACGATTTCCTCTATGAAAGAGGCAGATGTGCTCAGCTAGCATTAAGCACCATTGTGCATCACTTTACCGCTTTAATATTTTCAGCAGGTCCTGAAACCAGATATCCCTTCGTCACAAACTTGGCCACCGTGAGCATGTTTACAAAGCCTTTCCACAGTATGCCCTGCTTAGCTAGGAACTGTGTAGTATCACCATCTGTTGGGGTCTGAGAGACTGTGGCTCTGAAACACAAGCAATGGCAGAGTACAATTTACATCCCCATATTTCTTCCCAAAAACACTAAAACCAGATTTAGAATTGAAACTCTTTAAGTACCTGGAGGATGCACCACTAAGTCTTGGGTCAGCAGAGGAGGATGGCTTCATTAAGATTGATTTGGGTAATGCTTTTGGTGGTGGAACTGAAGGTGGTGGGGCTGAGCTCGGTGCCAGGCTACCTTTCATAGCAGCGTAAGGAGCTGCTTGTTTGGAAACAATGTTGCCACCTGAGGAAGCAGTAAACCTGTTTGCTGCAGTTCGGGGGTCACGTCTTGTAATGGTTACAGTGGAGACAGTGGGAATCACAACTGGTGTGTATGATCTCTTTGGTGCAGGCACTGTGAATCCCTCTGGAGTTGGAGAAGCAGGAGACTCCATGATGGGGGAAGCAGGAGACTCTAATGCTGGAGAGGCAGGAGAATCCATCATCGGGGAAGCAGGAGATTCAACAATTGTCAATTTTGGAGAATCAATGTCAGTTTGGGACGATGGCTCCATCAGTGAAAATGTAGGAGACTCCATTTCAGGTGTGTCAGGTGGTGCCAAGAGAGGAGACTCGTCTCCCCCAGGCTTCTTCCAAGATATCTTATCAGTCTTGTCTCTTGATGTAGAGACCTTTGACTTTTTCTTAGCAGGTTCTTCACCTTCAGCAGCCTGCATCTGGCCTTTGAGAATGAATACAAAATAGTTTTAACCAATACATTTTAAGCTGGCTTTATGTGCTTATTTTAGGTAATGATATATTATAAGTATTATTTAGATTACATAGATAATATTTTCAGTTACTCAAAAGTTATTTTAAATGCACATAAACAAGTTTAGATAGTTTGTCTACACATCTCATGATCAAATATCATCTCTGATTTTCTTCTCCATCTCTGTGTAAAAAACTAAGCATTGCAAAAATACAAAACAGCTTCTATCGCTAAAACTAAAGTCAAAGAGCAAACCAAACCTGAAGCTCATCAACTTTTAATGTATAATAGTAGTTGAATCAGTTAATAAAATTGTATTTTGTATTTACCTGTGCATATTCTGCATTTCAAGTCAAAGAGGTGAGCCTTGTGTTCTGATGTTGTATCCTTAAGCATGCAGGAAAGTATATCTGGCATCTTTTTGCTCTTGCTTAGTTGCATAACTCTAGATTTGGAAGGTTGAGAGGGAAGAACTTTCTTCTGATCCTAAGAGCCAAAGGTAAAATAAAAATACAAAATAAGTATAATAAACATTAAAGGTTCCACCAGAAGTGACAATAGTACAGACCGTGCTCTCTGGCTTTCTTTCGGGTCTAGGAGGATTCAAACTGGGCAGATCGATCTTCACGGCTTCAGGTTTTGGGATATTTGTCCCCTTAGAAGCTTCAACTTTAACCTTTACAATCAAAAACAATCAAAGCACTCAATATTTTTCATTTGTTTTATATAATTCATTAAAATCCCTTTTTGTTTTCAGATATTCTTTACCTGAGTTGTTTCGTTAGTAGTTGGCTCAGGGGCTTTAGTAGCCTGCATGTCCTTTTGGGTCATTCTGACCAGTCTGAAAGGGCCGATTTCTCCATTTACAACCCGATACAACAAGCCCTAGAAAACAGTAAAAAAGGCAACTTTTGATTTCACAATGGAAAAAAAGATCCTATGAAGAATCAGATTTGAACATCAAGAGGTGAAAAAAATAATAATATGAAAAAAAAAATCCACTAAGATGTCAACCAACCTTATTTCTGGGATCTTTTATGTTGAACATTATAGTTCTATACTTGTTCATGTATTTGCTGTCTGTATTGCGGAATATGTCAAACATTTCCTTCTCAATGCCAGCAACAAGTTTTACAACTTCGCTCTCAGGCATCTCCAGATCGTCACAGTCACTTACCCTAAAGAAAGAAAAATATATCTCCAATCATTTTACACACCAACATGGAAATGTTATTCTTGAGATCCAGACGAAAAGGATGAATTTTCTTGGTCACCAATACAAATCATGACAGAAATGTATTATATATCATTTTTTGATGTTTAACGGAATATTAGAGCCAAGCAATAAGGATTTTTTTTTTTATTATTTCAAGAATAAAGTCATAATAGTTGCAGAAAAAGATGCAATATATACAGAAGAAAGTCATAAAATTATGACGGGAAATATATTTTAATGAGAAAAAAACTTGGATAGTTAAAGATCTGACGTGACCAGAAACCAAAACTGTGGGGTTCTTTCTTCGAAACGATCGTTTCTGCTACTGATAGTAACTTGATGCTGATGTGTAAAAGGATTAAGTATTTTGTTATTTGTAAAACCCATACCAAAGTACAACTTCACAAAATGCTCAAAATTAATTATATTAGGACTTTATTCTGTGATTTTTTTTTCTTATCTTGGCCATGGTACTGAAGAGGTTTAAAAGGACATAATGAAAATGGCCTTTGTTTCTAATAATCCAGCTAAATTGGGTAAACTTGATATGATCAAAAGTTTCTTACACATATTGGTAAAAAAATGAATAAATAAAAAAAAAACTCTAAAAGACAGAAGCACTGTGTAAAAAGCTGACATAATTTATATTTTAGTGGTTCGACAGCCACCAATAGTGGGAATAACCACAGGTGTATCAAGAAGTAATATCAATACATTTCTAATTTTTTGAACTAGTATTAATTATTGCTAATGAAAACCCCAATCCTTTTTTTTATTTAAAATATTACCTACAACCAGTAAATGAAAAAAACATTATTCAGCTACATTATTGGAAAATTGAGTGGAAGGAAAAAGTGTAGGAATGAAAAGAATGCACAGCTTTGAGAGAATGTTAAAGCCCATTAAGGAGCAATGGGGAAGATTCACAAGGCTTGGATTGGTGAGTTTCATCACTGAAATATAGTTTTGCATGATTTTCTAATTTTGGCTCCATCTTCTTTACAACAGCGAACCTTATTTTATTAAAGTCGTATTCACCCAATTTCATTATGAAAACATTCATTAAAATGAAATTAGTCAATTACATGCTTCAGAGGCTTTAATGCGAGTCTCTAAGGTAGTTCTCACCTCTTGAACAAGATGGCGGTAAGGGAGCGCTGGATGCTCTGTCGGACCTGGTTATTGGGCTGAGAGGGTCTGGAGGACGGAGCGCTGGGTGCTGGAGGCACCAGCAGATTTCGAGTTTCGCTCAGCAGAGCTGGAACTGCGGACGGTTTCTGGGACGGCTGGCTGCATGAAGCCTGAGGTACGGGCTGTTTCTTTGGTATAACATATGTCGTCTTTTTGACGATCAGGGCGCCCATCTCTAGATGTTGAACAGCTGAAACGGGAGGAGCTTGGGTGGCAGCAGGTTGATCAGATTTCTCAGATGTTGGTGGTGGCGAGACACTTTCTGCTGCTTTTTGCTGATTGGACACATCAGTACTTTCAGGTTCTTTTTCCTGGGTCGGACTCTGTAATGGGGGTTCCTCAGCTACAGGCTGGGGGAGTAGAGGAGCGTCTGCTGTGGGCTCCTCTGGACATTGTTTCGGAAGAGATACGGCCTCAGTGTCAGGCTCTGGCTTGTCACTGGTCTCATCAGCTGCTAAAAAATGAGGACAAAAGAAAAATGTGGCATTTTATAAATATGAGAAAAACATGCACAAATTAGTCACTGATTACTACTTATTTATCTTTCTAGTTTTCTCTAGTATATTTATTCTGCATACATGAATGTTTGATTAAGATGCACATGAAGTGAACATAACTTTGTTTTCTAATTCCAGCGCTTCACACGTATGAATGAACCAGAATATGAATTACGGTCAGGAGAAGGAATCAGATCTTCCAGATGTTGGTAAAAAGCAATTTCCTATGTAGAAGACAATCTTTTTTTTTACTTGCATTTCTGTGTACAACTTTCCTTTTTATTGTTATTTCTGGACTGGTATGTACAAGAGAATCGGGTCTAGTTTCAATGCAGTAACTCTTGGAGGTAATTTCTGCTGTTATGTAACCAAGAAGAAAAATATCAGACTGAAATTATATAACTAAATGAGTTATAACATTGAATGCACTCATCAGTCTGCATGATTTATGTTAAGATCTTCAACCAGGTACCATTTCACAGCTTGTACTTTCTGTGAAAGTAAAAGCTGCACCAAATAAAATATGAGTAAATACTCTTAAAAAACTACAATAATGTAAATATACAAATTAAACAAAAAATCAAAATAAGCCAATAAGTAAATCTAATTAGATGCCGCTGTGAAGACACAAAGACTAGATCGAGAATAGCTTCTGATGATGTGAACTTTACAGATAAAACATTTTGTTAGAGAAGAAAGAGCAAATTCATAATTCATATTCACTGCTGAATAAATAATAAGAAAAAACCCTTATGAATTAGCAGCAAAAAAACAATGGATATATTTCTTGGGATGTTTTTCCTACTGTGACATTTTTCAGTTGACCTTTTTGCCATTTTGCTTATATTTCAAGGCTGTCTTTGGAAAAAGTGTACTTTTCAAGTCACACTAAACAGCTTAGCGATGTTTTAACTTCTGTTTTTTTTTTTTCAATGTTGTTCTAATTACTTTTCATTTTCAGTACCTGCAATAAAATTTTCAACTAAGTTAGCTCTCTGAACAGAAAACAGTAAATTTATAACGATTTTAAAAACTGTACTACTTGGTAGGGTTTTTATGTTTTTTGCACCTTTCCACAATTTTAAGGGGGTACTTAGTATTTGCAGACTTCTACATTTTTCTTTCATTTCTGTTTAATGTATGAAGACGTCAGTGGTATCTGTTTTGTAAACTTCACCTTAGAATTGGTAAAGATCAGATCATTTATAAATTCACACCTTAAAATTAATTTGTTTTATCACTTTAATATGCAGCTACTCTGCCTAAAACTCTTCTTATGTTGCTCCTCAGATTTATTCAGTAAATATGTTTACAAAAGGATCACTGAAACAGGACTAGTCCTTCACAGTCGTCAATTTATTTCTTTGCATTTGTAATATTTACGCCCAATGGAGCCAATTTAATGGCATCAAAATGTAATTTGTGAACTGCAGAGACACACTGAGATAATGTTTAATGTATTTGAGAGATGAAGCATCTTTCTGAGAATATTTACATCAACGGTGTCTGTGTAGCTGATTTCCTCTGTCCAACTGAAATATAACAAAGCACTTCTTAATTATTTGGTGTCATTGGTCGGTAAGTTCAACAGGATTATTTGTAGATGTAACATACTAAAAAGTGGCACAAACACTTTGCACAAAAAAAAAATCAGCTTGCTGACTGATGTTTATGTTTGTTCTTGAGATATAAATACTAATATCATGATGTATGTTGGTGTTTACACACTAAAAAAAGTGATTTCTCAATTTTTGTGCCTTTAATGAACAGAGATAATCCCATTATTATTGACTATTTGATTTTTGCATCATTAAGACAAACTACTGCAGACATAGATCAATACTAAAATAAGAGTACCATCTATAAGCCTACCTTGCAAAACAAAGAGTATATATATAATAAATATTATTATTATTAACTTTCTCTAAAAAGCAGATGTTTCATTGGGTTAAACGAATGTCCAAAAAATGATGACACCTCTCGATTCAGAGATCAATACTCTGTTGCTTAGAAAGCATTCTGAATCTCTGTTGTGGCCAGTTTGATATTTAAACAGTTCCCCTCTGCTGAACTGAACAAATCATCTAAGTATTACACAAACAGATTCTCCCTCTTCACAGCAGATGGGTTATAGTTTAGAGACAGAAACATGCAAAGGTTTTCCATACCCTTTGAAATTTTCCACATTGCCTATAGGTAAAGCCACAGGCTTTAATACCTTTTATTGGGATTTTCTTGAATCGACCAAAACAAAGCAGTGTGTAATTGCAAAATACAAAGAACTGGATTAATGGTTTTCTAAAAAAGTCTGGACTTTAACTAGACCATGAACATGTTTTGATCTAAACTGTCCCACTGTTACTCCGGCTGTATTTTTTAAGGTCATTGTCTTGCTGTAAGCAAATCTTAAGTCTCAACAGGTTTTCTTCCTGTATTTAGCTCCATCCATCTTCCCATCAACTCTGCCCAGTTTCTATGTCTGAAGAAAATCATCCCCACCACATTTCACCTGTGTTAATTTTCCACCATGCACATCATTTTGAATGTGAAGTTTAATTTTGGTCTTCTGTGACCAAATCAGACACCCTTCTTCTTTCTTGATACATTCCCAAAAAGGCCAAGATTTGTTGGAAGTTCTTCTCCCAACAAATTTGGATCTCTACAGGTCCTATGTTACCAAAGTGAATTTGGTCTCTTCTCTGTTCAGTGCTGTGCCACACCCTGACAGCTTAGGTAGATGGCCAAGTCTTGCTAGATTTACAGTTCTGATAAACGCTTCTGATAATGTCTGTAACATAGCATGTGGAGATGTTCAAAATCTGGGAAATTGTTTCATAACTTAAACTTGCTTTAAAGCACATCACAAATATACTCCTGCTCTTTCTGTGTTCCTTGTTTTTCATCCTGTTTTCTGACAAAAGGGCCATTTTCACCAAACCGGTTCCAGTTCTTTGTGTTTCCACTGAAAAAGTTAAACCTCTGGCCCCAAACAATTTAAATGTTGACAAAACCCAGTCTTGTCTGGAATTTTTGCATTTACAACCATCTCATTTTATTTTGAATTGATCAAGCTATACACAGACATGTTTTACCTTAATGAAGGTAAAATGAAGGAGTTCTCCTTTGAAGTGTTTCAACTCTTATCTTATTAGATTCATACTTCCTGTCAATCACCCAGGTAAATGGCTCATGAAAGTCTTTAGGCTCTGTT